CAGGGTCATGGGTGAGCACTGTTGAGGAGTCCCATACTCCATCCATCCAAATCAACGTAGGACCACACATCACTACCAAACGGTCTGAGTTGCCACACCTTACATCAGTACATCAAGTAAACAAGGCAGTGAAGTGGAGGATGAAAAGAAAATTCAGTCCAAGGAAATACAAAGTACTAAAAGAGAGAAAGGAAGAATGAGAAAATGGTCAGATTCGGCATAGCGTTAAGATCAGGATAATGTGCGTGTGTAGATATCTCCCCATGAGACATCGTTCTCAGCTACATCACCTAGAGTTAGTCTCCAATCTCTGGTTTCTCTTGTTCCATAGACCACAACCGACTGGCTAGCTTGCATCGCCAAACATAGCTCAAATCAACAGTCAAACACTTCATACGCTCATGTCATGTTCTAGCCCGGCGGCTGCCACGAGACTCTTTCCAGCCTGAACCTACTTCAGCCAACATTGTGTGACGAGGCAACCGGCGACTAGGCACACATGTCCCTGCCAGACAGTCAGCTTTATCAACCTTGTTAACTGATTTACTTCTCCTTAAAACTCTACGCCTGACTTCTGCGTTATTTGAAAGCAAGCCAGACTTGAAAAACTTACAACAAAGCCGTAACTTAAATGAAATAAACGACTAAACAGGATGAAGTATTTACGAATCATTCATCCTGATTTACAGATTTCACCAGCCACATCATAGTGATCTAAATACTGGACAGTTCCTGACGACCATGTTTATATCAGAGGTACGTTTGGATAAATTCAGCTGACAGAACAGAATTTTTCAAACACAATGACTTTGGTTGATTAATTCGCAAATTACTCATGAAATCTATGAAAATTTTAACTTTTCTCACAACTGAGTAGTTGTCCAGCATTCAACAGACTTGCGTTGGAAACCATCAAGTCAGATTATAAACTGTGATTTGACACGAGTCAATAACTAACGAAATATACTACCTGAACGATGCAAGTAATCAAAAATCACTCATAGAAATGCGTGATTTGCATCATTCGGATTCCTGGAGAGGTTATGTGTGCTCTGTACTGAGGAGCTCCATACTAGGATGAAACACCTGATCAGTGCTCCCATTTTCCTAATGTTGTTCAGCTGATGTTAGTTCATAACAAATATCAACCTGAAATTAGTTAATTAATCCTTAAAAACTCCAAAATTGAATAATCTAGTGCTTATTGTTGACTAGTAGCTGTGAGAAGTGATTCCCGGAAGTTCTAACGAAAAGCGTTAACCGATGAGGACAAGTAATCAAAGACGGAATTGAATGGAGGTTGATCTACATCGTGAACTTACAGAAGTGGGAAACTACGAACTATTGAATGCCAACCCAGTAGCTCAACAGTGACGTGCTAGCGGTGAGACCTACCAATCCAGGAGAGTGCCATTTTAGGACGAAGCAGATGTCCAATGTTCCTCCGAATGATATCAGTCCATGATGATTATCAACCTGAGACAAAATACCTTCAAAAATTGACATTTGTTTACGTCACAGATATGGCGATTACAAATGATATGACTGAACCTTCCGGGAGTGCTAATATTTACTGATAATAAGGGACTCGAAATCTAACTTTGGTACTCATATAAGATGAGATCGAGTACTTGGAAAAGTTAGAATTATCCATTGTCAAACATACATCAGTACTACTGGAGAATATCAGAGACAAGAAAACCAGGATATCTCCTGTCGTGAAAAGTCTGCTGTCTTTGAGTCATAAAATGAATGGCACCAAAAAGCTGCAGTAACTTATCCATCATGCACGTGAAGTTGACAGTAAGTTATAGACATCCACGAATATTAACATTCTATGGCTGTTAGTGATTTTCTGGTATCACATCAGATAACCACCAAAGACAGATGGATTTCATCTTTTCCGGAGTTTCTCCATTGAAAGTGTACACATTGAGAAGTAATAAGGCTAGGGCCTAAGAAAAGTATGGGTTTCTAAACTTGGTTGTAGATGATTCATTGTGCCATAAGATGGCGACAACTTAAACTGTAATCAACATTTTGAGAATATATTCATGACAAATAGCTACATAAGAGGGACATAGAATATGTGACTGAGCTGCCAAGATGTACAATGAGATACACCTAACTCACTGGACTCCTGAAAGAACAATGACTGATAACTCTCCACAACATACATAGTTATACACTTCTCACTCCACAGTAGCCTGTAGCCCACTATTAACATTTTGCCACCTTCAAAAAAAACTCATCCTAGATCCTGACAGAGAAACAATTCCATCGACAGGAGACTGTTAAGACTGACAAAGAAAATAAACGTAGGACTTCAGACTCAACTCCATCGGTTCAAGTTGCCACACTTTACAGTAGTATACAAAAAAAGGTGGGATATCAAAGTAGATAAAGATGTATGAAAGAATATGTCCAAGACAAAGCATAGTGCAAACATCCAAGGTTTCAAAGATGTCAAAGAGTGAATAGGTTTGCGTCATTGAGACCAATCTTCAACCATATAACCAAGTCAGACCTCAACCAGTTTCCTTTTGTCTAGAGGACCCTAACCAGGTAGTCGACATCTCCCCATAAGCGACTTCAACGACTGATGCCATGTATTGGTATGACCACCCTAGACCCTCTTTCAACCTAATCTAACTTCGCCTAGCATAGCACACCTCACTAAGTCGATTAAGTTTATAGCCTCACCAATCAAATTTCCTAGTACCCTCCACCTGATCTGAACACTGCTCGAACGAGGATTCCACGAAATGCGAAAAATACAACGAAGATATCTGTGATCAAAAACCTGTTATCAATCCATGTCTCCTACTTTTAACAACCATGTCTCACAGCCGTATAAAAGGACAGTCATCTGTTGGCAGATAGTGTGATATCTCGCCGGCGCCATATATGACGGGAGTTGTCAAATACGGAATGGTCTTTCAGCATCCAAGCTGAGGTTTCGTTAGCAACCATTCCGCTTGGCCTGGTGCGACTCCTAAGTCAAATGGTCGACATGTGCCATCACTTTCCACTCCCTTTTAACTGTGTGGCTGCAGACCAGTCCTGAAGCATCATCTTAAAAGTGACAAGTCCCAATGAAACGCATACTGAACATACCCAGATTTTCGTTCAACGCGCTCACAAGACCATATTCTGTCAGTCTACATCGAGCAGGATAGTATCGTTTGAACACTCCAAGTCAATAAAATGCCCTTCAGGGAGTAGATCAATCCGTGTGAAGTCAGAAGTATTCAGGGCTGTCCGTTAGTACGTCTAAGAGAAGTCCAATATGAACAGTGGAAATTCCTTGCAAACGCCACTAGTTCTCGTCACTTCATATGACATCTCTCTAACACGGTTGCATGAATTCGAGTAGAGGTTTGGTCAGCGTTATATACTCGCTCAGTACTCCTTTAACGGTCAGACACTGCCACACCACTCGGTCGACAGCCAAATGCCGCCTTCAGGTTAACCAAGTGCCGACCACTGGGCGGTAAGGTGTGGCAGTGCTCCAGAACCTGTCGGGGCAAACTGCCAGGTCCGGTTTCTTTGAATCATTTTAGATTCGATACACCTTCCTTAACTTCAAGGATTCTAAAACAACCGAGTTCTATTCATATCGCTGTCCCCAAAGGTATTCAGTCACATACTGACTGAGTTGTACGGTTCACTCAACTTGTCTACTAGTGATGAAGCAAAACTGAAAGTCATGACATGAAGAGCTAGTCATCGTAGACACAATTTGAGCTGGTACATGGGGTGCCTGCGGCCACACAATACTATACCCTAACTGTAAGTCACTCTCGTCGATTCGTCGATGACCAAGTCATCGCCTCAGTTCGCGTCACAGACACTAATGAGCTGACCCACCCAGAGTCAAGACAAGCGAGACGACTGCAACACACAAATTTATGCAATGAAAATAAAAAACAAAGCGAGGTAATACACATTATAAGTAAATGGCAATAAAAACAGGCTACAAGAAAACCGAAAACATCCATAATTATAACTTTAGTAATGAAAACGAATTTAATAGAGTAAATAAATTCAAAATCTGGTGTTCTATCAGATTAGAAAGTAATATGCTGCTCACCTGAAGTAATAATAATAATAATAATAATGATAATTAATAATAATAATAATAACACACAAACAATGGCTATAAAAAAAAAGAAAGGCACAAGTGCGACATAATTATAAGGTTATCATAAAGACAAGTAACATGAGAGTAAAGAACAGTGATGAAAACAAAACAAATGCAACTGTGTATACACCACCTTGCTAGGAGTTGGGTATTACACACAAATAAACTAAGTCAGTTAGCAAAAATAAACTGGTGGAGCAGACCACATATGGAATGATTAATTCATGTGAGATAACGCTCCTCTAATGCAAAATAGACCGAGTTCAGTTTTTGTCGCACTACTCTTTTCTTGTTTAATGGTTGTTCGCCAAACCCACAGGTATATCTACTGTTTCTTCTGCTACTGACGCCATCATTACACCTAGTAGCAAAAGACACACCACATGTAACCTGTAGGTTCGGCGAACACTTACCAAAAACAAAAAACCACTAAACAAAAAGAGTAGTGCTGACAAAGACAAAAACTAAAAGATAAAACAAGTTAGAAACTAACAACGAAAGATAAACAAAACAAATATCTAGTGGACAGCAGAGATTACAAAAACCAAATTAGTGAGTTAGAATAATATCGAGGTGGTTGAGGCCACATAGGGAAAGTATGAAATCTAATTACCAAATAATAATAATAATAAGGATATAAATCAACGATAATCAATGCGCACTGGCGGTGTTACGACCACCAAAGTATTCTGATCAAAAGAACAGAGAGCCAGACAAAAAAAACAGGTAGAAATTAACAAGGTATACGTGTTCAAGGTAACCTAGACCAGGAAAAAACATAGAGAACATTTAAAACCATGTTTTCAATCAAAATATAGAAATAAAAATAAAAGCATTTTCAACGTTGATTAATCTGTTATTCGTGAAGACTACCTTCTTCACCCTCAGCTTCAGATGAAGCTAGAAGCTTGGAAAAATTCACCAGATCGTGTGGATTCAAAGTGCTGGTGCAGCATTCCGAACTGTTTTCGATTTCTCCACCATTGCAACCAGATGTCTGCTGGTCCAAATCAGGCCTAGAAATCACACCCCTGCTTAAAATGGTGCAAACAGATCGAGGCGTACTTGGCCCTTGCATCCCTGTCTTGCATTCCTCATGGTCGGCTACCGATGTATGGTGGATTATACTTGTAGGTTTGGAAATCTCTGAGCATGTCAGATGAGTAATGTAAGAGTTGGATATAGGCGGCAAAACAGATGCAGCAATTTGTTCTGGAGCGAATGAGGCGAATTGGTTTTCCCATTCAATTAACTGGCGAAGAGAAACGTTTCGTCCTCCACCAATAATTATGACAATATTGGAGGGACGTGATAGACACCCCTCGTGCTGTAGACGTGATAAGTAACCCGAGTATACAGTTGAGAGAGCGGCTCCACAAGCTGGGTCAACAAGCATGCCATGATCATCTGGAAAACAGAAAACAATTCGAGTCAGTAATTCTGCCTACACAATGAAAACTCACTCCGCACATCTGACAAAACTCACTAGAACCATGGTCAAAATTCAGCCGGTACTAATGTGTGTTAGCATTGACGGGAACGCCCATACTCAGTACCTACACCGCATGTTCGGCTTAAGTCATCTTAATGACACAGGTGGCCAAGTCTTTAGACCGGTCTTCATCAGAGTAGTGCGCACCATCTTCACCCTTAGTGTTTAGTTAGCTCTAGAAAGCTTAGCTCACCGTGGTTGACAAGATGTGTGCATAAAGGTTTTCTAGAATACTTTTAAAGATTTCATTAGGCTCAAGTATACAGTGGTTCACGCATTCGATCATGAGTTTAGGCTGAACAAATGTCTAGATCTAGGTGCCTAGCTCTTTACTTTCAATCAGTGGAGAATACGCAAGACGTAAACTAACAAGCAGAAGGAATGTCGAATGATAAACATACCCGAAACCACATGGTGCACTCACTGTCTCCAGAGCTCATTCACTTGGCCGCAACTTCTCGAGATTTTGGCTTCACTTTGTCGTGAAAAACAAAACATGATTTTACCTGGAAACGTGCCTTTTTAGGCCACTACGAATCACTGAAGAGTGCACACGTCAAGCGCCACCCCTCACCAATTTGCCGACTAGAGATACAAGGAAGGCACGCTTAAAGATTTATTTAGTTTGAATACCGAAGGGACTATACTGGTCAGTCTAATCCTCTTGGGATTGACATAAACTGTAACAAACAATTAGTATGAAGGAAAGACTACTGATTTCGAGATAAGCTGACCCTGATTAACCTCGCTCAGTTTACTAGTTCACTAGTTACTAGCCGGTCCTAAGCCCGAGTAAAGAAAGAAGGGCAAAAAGCTACCAATCCTACCCCGTAAAACCAATCCAATCACTAAAGAAACTTCAAAGCACAAACAAAATATAAAAAATAAAAACAAATTTATTCCTCCCTGGAATGGAGGCGACGAAATGACCCCAATTGGTGAAAGCCTTCGGGAAGCCAATTGGCCGATGTGTCACTTCTCTCGTGATGAAAGCGAAAGTAAGAATGAGAACATGGAATGTCCAAACAATGTTCGCAGCTGGCTAGCAAGGCTGCCCAGATTGCAGAAGAGATGAAAAAGTAGAGCACAGAAGTGCTAGGAATCTGAGAAGAATCTGCAGATGGGATGGAAGTGGACTCTACAAACTGTCAACTGGAGACGGGTCAATAATCTACTCCAATATTGTCACCCAGAAGACAACCACGAGCTCAGCACATTGAGTTTTCGAGTAGCTATCATAATGTCTCCAACACCATCGAAGCCTCTCTCTCATCCAGTCGGAACCAATCTCCTCTGCAGCATCACGATCATGATATCAAGATTCAACTGAAAAGGAAGGAAAGTCGCAATCATACAATGCCACACTACGCTATGCACCTACAAATAATGTGCATCAAGAGAGGGGGGAGAATTCCAGAGACAACTACCATCAGTGCTGGAAAAGACACCACCCACAGTTGGCGACATCAAATTCATTCTAATGGGTGGGGTGGGGTGACATGAATGCCAAACTGGGATCAGACAACACAGGAAGAGAACTCATCATGGATAGAGAAGCAATCGGTGAGATGATGAATGAGAATGGAGAACTGTTTGCAGATTTCTGCACATTCTACGATCGGGCGATTGGAGGCGAGACAGTGTATACAAACACAAGGATATTCACAAAGCCGCACGAATTTGATTTCACCACATGGACACACTAAAACGCAGATCGACTTCATCTCAATCTGAAGAGAGTGGAGATGCAACCAGTCTACTGGACACAAGATGAAGGAAGAGGAGCAGATGTATGTGGTTCACACCAATCACTCACTACCTAGTGCAAGCAACCTACATTCAAAATCAAGTTGAAATCCTCAATTGAAAGAAGCTGGTGATAGACGACCACAGTTCTTCAAGTTGATCACCCAGAACAGAAACTGCACTGAAGAAGGAGACTGCAGAGGACATCTTCACATCAGCCATGTGCACAAAATGGGAGGCATTGAGGAACATCCCTGAGGAAAGCGGTGTGGAAGAACACTGGAACTCTGTGAATTGAGAAGTGGACGGAGACCTGGATAAGTGTGTTAGGAAGGAAGAAGAAGCAAGTTAGTGAATGTATGTCGACGGATACATGGAAGCTGATGGAGGTGGGAGAGGAAGATGGTGAATCAGAAGATGAAGCAGTGCAGGGAAGTGCAGCGGATGAACAACGAAAAGAGGAAGTGAGTACAAACTATACAACACTGGACAAAGTGAAGAGTGCGTGCAGAAACGATGGACACTTTTATGACACTTGCAACTGAAGCAGAACAGGCTGCAGGTAGGAGGGACAGGGACGTGACAACATTATATCAAATAACCAGGTTACTATCGGGGAAGAGATCAACACAGATGAAGCCAATAAAAGATAAAGAACGAAACTTAGTTATCCGAGAAGAGTAACAAAGAAAACGATAAGCTGACCACTTCAAAAAACTCTTGAATCGGCCACCAACTCCACTTCATCGTTGATGATGACGACCAACACCACCTGTAACTCGTCCAGAAATACTACCAGGGGCCACGGAACTATTAGTGAACACAAACCCTACGATCAAAGTGAAGTCCTGAGCGCCAAAAAGTTGCTGATATCCGGGAAAGCAGCAGGACTAGATGGAATCTCGCCAGAAGCACTGAAAACAGACACAGAGACAACAGCAGACATGCTAACACCACACCACTATTGCAGAAGGTTTGGAAAGAAAGAAAGGAAGGTACCTGCAGATTGGAGGAAAAGTTACCTTGCCAACCCTCCCGGAGGAGGGCGATCTAATTATTTGCAAGAACCGGCACCGAATCATGATACAACTAGGTCTACACAAAGCAAAATATTAACCACCATCATCCCGAAGAGACTAAAACATTCTCTCCATTCAAAACAACCACCACAACTCGCTGCCCGTCCTGCTTCACGAAGAACAAACCATGTCCCGATCAAATTACAACTCTACACTACACATCATCATACAATACAGAATAAAATGGCAGACAACTCTCCCTCCAACTTACCTCAACTTCGAAAACGCCTTCCTTACATCGAGGCGTCAACCGACAAGTAATTTACCAGCTGCTTCAACACTACGCTTTCAGTGTCACAAACCCCATTCAACAGCAGCTATATGATGATGGTGCTATATGCTGTGTGATTCACAATGGAAAGCTCAGTGACACCTTTGAAGTGAAGACAGGAAAGAAGGAATACAAGGTTGCTGTCTACTATCACCAATCATCTTCCTGATTGTGGTCAACTCGACTCGACTGGACTGGATGGTGGGAGAAAGTGTGAGGAGCTGTGAGAAGATGGGCACATGCTGTTTGACTGATGAAAAGAAGATTTGGATTTCACCGATGATGATTTATGTCTGAGGTCTTGCAGCACAAACTCGAAGATCTACACGCGAAAACTAACAAGTTAACACATGAGGCAGGGCAGCGAAGACGGGACTTCCTTCACGTGAACGTAGAGAAGACAGAGTTGATGAAAATACCCAACAACAACAAGCACGAATTACCATGAAGAGGAGAAATCTAAACGAAGTTGTCTCTTTTACCCACCTACCTAGGCATACAGCATCGTTTCAATCACAGGCAGCACAGATGAGAATGTCAAAGCAAAACAGGTCTTCATTAAACTGAAGTCAGTGTGGAGATCTACTGCTCTCAGCATGAAGAACAAGACCCAGATTTGCAACAACAACCTCATGTCAGTGCTTCTATATGGTTCAGAGACTTGTCGCGTTACGAAATGTATTCCCAACAAACTACAGACAGACATACATCAACAGCTACCGTCTACGCTTATTCGATACCGAAGATCAGGTCAGATGGTCAGAAAGAATAAGCAATAGGGAACTCACTCTGGCTGGCAACGAACCAACCAAAGAAGCAAGAAGCCATCGACCAACAAATATGCAGAAGAAAATGAAGAAGGATTGGGCTGGACATACACTGAGAAAACCATTTGGGGACACCACGCGCTAGGCCCTCGAGTGGAATCCAAAGAGGAAACGAGTTGAGCGTTCAAGATGAGGGTGGCATGAAGATCGCGTGGGGAAGAAACGAAAGCTTTTGGACAGCCGTGAAGCCAGGTTTAAAAGACTGCAAAGGGTGAAATGGTGACGTCGTACTGAAGGCCTGTGTTCCACCAGGAACCCAAAGGAAAATACTTATAATAATAACCCAGATCTGTAATGAACTTGAGGGATGTCACATTTCTGAGCACCTCGAAAACATATCTCATACGAAAATATAATGCAAAAGCGTAACAAGTGCCTTCTACCGCGTTTATATGAAATCATACATTTTCAGCTATCACAGATCGACAATCCCGAGTAAGCCGGTATTCTTTGGACAAGGCTTTGCAAACCAAATCTTAATTAATCCAAAAAATAAAGAGCGAAAACTTCGTTAACGCTGGGTCATAACTTAGAAAAGTGAGAAATAATTTTATTCAACTTGGGATATAAGGCTTTTGGTTGAAATGAATGATAACTCACCTAAAAGACGCTTCACACCATCGACAGCCTCTGTATCCGTACAGGTTACCGCGGTGACAGGATGGCACTGGGCCAAGTTCAAAGCGTGCTGTGCCAGAACCGGGGCGTTGATGGAAGTAGCGATTGTTGAACTTCGTGGTATGACTGCTAGCTGACCAGATTTCAAAGATCGATTTAAGCAATCAGCTCCTTCAGTTTCTGCAGTTATGATCTGGGTTGAAGACCATCCTCTTCTCCACAAGCCCTTAAAACATGAAATTAAGAGGGATTATTCTTCGAAAAGTATCCCGCAATTGAAGCGTACACTAGACAGTTTGGTGGCGTCAAAATATAACAAAGTTCCGATAAACCAAAATCTTTACAAACCGCTTATTTTTACTGTTATTCATTATCTTCAAGTTGCATTTAGGACAATCCTTTGCAATGTTCTGACGTACATATAGACACGAAAATCGTCAACCATACCTATTTGTCATGTGCCTGCTCACACAATCAATTACAGTTCACTTCTGTTGATTTTCTGTGTTTATAATGACACTAGTCCACACGCTATAAAAAGTTACTTCACCGTTTTTCTAATTTGCTATCTGGTGATGTGTTGGTTTCATCAGGAATATGTACTGTTTGACATCTAAAACTGGAATGTACGGAGTTTCCCAAGTTGCGAAGGTCAGGATGTGTCACATAAACAGGCAACGTATAAAATGTTTGTTGGGAAGTTCAGTACTCAAACAAGTAAAAAACAATCGGTACTTACCTGTATAATGCCTGATAGCAACCCACCACCACCAACAGCAAGGACTATTGCATTCGGTTGACCGACCTCAGGTGGGATCTCGTCGACAATGGCTTCGTAACCTTCCCATAGTTCAGGATGATCATAAGGATGAAGAAGACGAACAGTGGAATCATTGTGTGAAGACTGTAAGTCATTTACCAGTTGTTCAGCGCGATGATTAGCCTCTAGGAAAGTGTTACCTCCCACAACAACCTTAGCGTCCTGAGCTTCCAATGCTAAGCGCCGTCTAATGGTCGATTCGTAGACTTCAGGCACTACAAGTGTACAGTTAAGTCTGTACGCATGAGCGGCAAAAGATGCAGCAATACCCGCATTTCCAGTAGTTGGGCAAACAATATGACTTACACCGGCAGCTGCCCACTGAAACAAAAACCACCAATAATAATCGTCAGTTATCACAAATAGAAAAGGTAATGACTATACGAAGATGGAAGCAGAGGCAAGCAAACAAGAAATATATGCCCATCAGAGGGGTAGATGTGGAAAACAACGTGAAGGCAAGCGGCGAACCTGTCCAGATTTTAACAATCAAAATCAACACCGGACTTGACATCACTACGTAACGGATTAAGTTGCCACACCCCCCACTTACACATCAAGGTGGGAGGTACAGAGTTGAAACACGAAGGAAGCAATCAACGGTAACAGAAAGTCGTTAAAAGGGGTAAAGCTATAGCAAAATTCAGTATGACGTTCCAGATGATAAAGTGTGGGTACAAAGGAGATTCAGATCGATTCTTAGCCGCATCACCTAGATTACTAGATCAACTACTTCCGTTAACACGCTTAGCCCAATCGAAATACCTACTTTTTTCACACCTCTGAGATCGAGTCACAGGCTGCATTCGTTGACGCTGTTTTAGTTTGCCCACCTTTAAGCTCTTCCGGTTGAAACCTGAGTCAACTGATGTTGTGAGCGGGACGGAAGCGACTAGGTATGTGTAGCATATGTCTCAGTTATCTTAAGTCAATCATGGTTTACACTCAACCGAAAACTCTGCACCTGACTTCAAAGTAATTCCACAGTACAGTCTATGATGCGAAGGCAACGGTGAACGAGCATCTGAAGCCTAATCTTGTCCTCCACCTTGAATTGCCGTGTTTCAGTCGCAAAGTAGAACACAACGAACTGATGAGTTGTATACTCGACCCTGAATAAGAAACCAGGCACGGCAACAGGTGGTGTAAGTTGGGAAAGCTAAATTACGTTTTCGTAGCTTTGCAAACTTTGTTGATCAAAAACATCGGGGCTGAGTGAAGTGTTCAGTGTGCTTAACCCATTCGCTGTATCTAGTTTAGACGTCGACACATTCCACTTCCGGCGAAACCGAATCCGAAATCTAGCCAGCAACCTTGTACTTAATCTTGCAGTAAACAACATATCGCGACAGTTAATTGTACTACCTGGCTGCTCAAACCTCAGTAGGTGGGGCAGTGTTCAGTTCTGGCGCAACAAATGGTATTCGAACGGTGTTGAAAACCAACAGGGGTCCACAACCTAATATAATGCTGTTGACATGTGGTAAACTGCTTATTGCCTATGCGATCTGTTTAGTCTTACACCCAACTTAACAATCTGATATGCAGGGAGAGATATAAATGACCGAAGGACAGAGACCAATCCTTACTTTGATCAGAGAAAACACGTGCAACCAGACAGTCTGCATGTGAACGTGGTTGCTCAGTCAACAATTAGCTTAAAATATAGACGTTACGGGAAGCGAAACACGACCTTCTAGAGAAACAAGGTGACAATAGACAATGAAAAATAAGACCGAACGGTTATAAGAAGCATTATCATGCGAAGGAATCATGGGTATTAGACTACGTAGAAGTTTTCGAAACCACAACAGCTAAATGTATAGGCAAATTTATTAGTGCAAAGGAAGAGGAAATATACCGGATGACACAGGAGGGAAAATGCTGAGCGATTTCACGCACAGAACATCGTTGAAATCTGTAAAGAAAAAATACTTACGTAGGTAATGAACTGAGCCACTGAAGCGAACACACTACTGCTTCAGGCATACAGAAAAACCCACATAGTACAATGACACGTATTCACTAACAAGCAACCTACCTTGCGAACTAGATTCTCAACGCCACGAATTTTGAATGATCCAGTTGGCTGGATGTTCTCCAGCTTAAGCCATATGTTTGCCTGACAACCCCGTTGTGCCAACAGACCCGACAAAATAGGACTTGGTATCAAAGGGTCCTAACAGATAAACGCCTGTACCCTCCAGGAGCCTGAGTACTGTGGCTCAATTCGTTAGACCGTCCTGACTCGGGAAGTGCAGTTGATCGATGCTGAGTAAATGGCCATGCAGAATGACTTTGACTACTGGCCAAGCCCCTTAAAGATTGTTCTAACTTCGGCTGGTCATTGTCGGTCACACGCTGGGAGTTTAGTGTGTTGATTATTGATACATCTCTAGATGGACAGCGATCAGCTCCCCTCATCAGATTTGGTGAGTTAGCATTTTGATGACCATCAAGAAAGTCCAGGTTGTCTAGCGAACCAGCTTGTGAGAGAATATCACGACCGAATATTGACGCGTTGAGGTCACTCACTAAAAAGAATGTAGATAAATGTATTGTTACAAGAAAACACAAGTCAAATATTATGTGAGTAGTATTCCAGTATGAATATAAACCTACACCGCAGGATCCAGTGAGCGAAGTTGCTTGAAGCATCTCCAAATCACAAACACCCAAGCAGGCGACAATGGTAACCTTCCCTGATTATGGTCTCGTTGAGAGTTAGCAACGAAGTAGCGTAGATGCTTATGACTTAGTCAAGCCTGCCTAACCAGCAATAACCAAGAGGATTCGCGGGACTACATTGCATGGTAGTTATAGCATAGTTGTCAGTACCGCGAAATCCTCAGCGGCACAGTCCATCAGTTATGCTGTCATTTTACATGGGTGCTAGGCGAAAGTAGAATGAAATGCTGTTGTTTGTCAGAGGTGGTACAATCACCAGAACTATGCTAGGAGGTAATTTTCGAGGTGGAGCGGTTTCTTCAGGTCGCCGATAAAAAAACATCTAACACACCATAAACGAAAATTCTGTGTACTGACCGACAAACTCATGAACCTAGAGGCATTTACAAGACTGAAAATAACTCCAAATGCATGTAAGGTAACCGTTTCCAATAAGGAAACAGGGTGACTTCCACTTAAATAACGGAGCACGTAAAGAACATATTAAACAAGGAGGAAGGTCAAAGTTGAAGGGTCCAGCCCTTTGGTTGGCGCGAAGATCAGTTGATGCGAGATATTGACAGCTGTTCCATAAGGCCTCTACGTACCTAGTGTCTAGCTGCTCAAGAAGTTGTGTACACACGTCATTAGTGAAGATATTCTAAAGGGTATTTTAATTTGGCAGAGCGAAGGCATATTTTGACCATATACGTCATTGAGGCATCCAGTCGACTTAGACGGCGAAACTAAGACCCTGATTTCGCCGACACGTTATGTTTCGGTTTATACGAGATGATATTTTAAAGTGACCATCAGTGACGGTTTTCAGGAGTTCCTGATTTTTGACCGCCGACACAAATTAACTGTAGACCGGCTTAGAGCCGTTAATGGGGTTATACGTGGGCTTGACACATTTCACCACCAATGTTACACGAGTGTGCATTTGCTGAGTTCTCAGCATACATCTACGACACTGGCTGGGATGTGATTAACCACTGCAGTGAGCTATAGGCACACTTGTAGATACGATATATAATGCCAAGCAACGGTGGACGAAGACTAGTAGCCTTTTCAAATCCCCCACCTCAAATATGTTTCACAGTCAGTTCAGGAGCAATAACTTGCATTCAGGTGATGAGAAATGCACATCTTCAGATTACCATTGCAGGTGTCCAGAACAGTGTGTCTTGTCGGCACCTTTATTAGACTGAACTAAATCATACGCCTACTCTATGTCTATTAAAGAGATTTCTGTAATAAGATCGACCCCTGTAAAGTCGGACAGTGAGGAAGACTTCCGCAGGCAAGGCCATTACAAAGTTAAATAAGGACGAAGAGAATAAACATCGTTGATGGACACCACTTGACGTTACACCACAGGCTCTATTACGCCCGTTCGAATGTACAGCATTCAAATGGACGATGCAATAACCCCTCAGAACTCTCAATGAAGGATTGCCACTGATCTGATCAACAGTCAGATGCCGCCTTCAGTTCGAGAAGTACAGCCAGTGTCGGGCACTAGTGTGTATGCCAGAATTTCGGAACCGGACAAAGGATGAACATTCTCCAGCTTACATATCCACGACCAGGTTTAAAAACTGGTTGTTACTAATGTCGCCAACTGCTTTCAGAATCAAAAATTTTAAACTATGTTTATTAGACTGATTCTCTTGCACTTGTCACCTGAAGATTTTTTTTCTTAAAGAATGGGACAGTCAGTGATTGACAAGTCAGAAAAGATCATATTTGATCCCATGCGCTGGCTAACACCAATTAATCCAACCAATAGTTTCTTACTTCAGGTTACAACCTTCGGAAGTAAACGGACACCCTATCTCTATTTTTCACTCAGGATTGGAATAGGGAGCGAGCAACGAAACAGTAAACGTAGGCCAGTTGAATTGTCACTTGGTTTTCGCCGATTGTCCCAGTCGTCTGCTCTGGGTAACAATAGTTGCAAGCGCTAACCAAACTGGGTCAGTTAACTACATTCTTGTGTATAATTTGTCACCTGAAGTACGATTAAGAACACCCAGTCATCAACGTTACAAAAAAAACCCAAGTAGTTCACAAGTAGAGCACTTCAAAGTACAATACGTTTATACATTATCACAGTGAGAAACTTATTTGAAATCAGTGGTTTGACATCCAAGTACATCATATAAACTCACCTTTGTTCCGTATGATTGCTCGAGGAGGGATACTGAACAGTGGGTTTGACTGCAACTGAAGACCACTATTGCTATCCGCTGCTGCTGGTAAAGAAACTTCAGAGTTCTTCGCCTCCATCATGTACTGAGTTTGTGTGTTTCCATGAACAGCACAGTTTGGTGTGTTAAGAGCTCGTCTATTCAGCACATTTGTAAGTATGTCCGATTCAACTAAAGGATCTCCAATACCGTGGCCACTGGATGCCCGACCGAATGCAAATGGCGATTGTCGTGAAGAAAAATAAAAGAGGCCGTACGTCTCTCTCGTTACTGAGCCGATCAGTCTTAGTCTAAGAGGTGAGGTCCACTCTGGGGCCTGATAACCGTTTAAACGCAGAACAGCATTTTCGGCACTACAGAATAAATTTAGCACACAATCTTACCTATTCTTTTCTTGGAATATGACAGTTGCACTCGAAGTGTGCCTGCCATCTAACGATTCTGCGCTCAAGTCGCTTGACGTACCATTTAAAGTTGGGCTGAGGCGCGGTTTTTGACCTGGGGGAGAATCAGGGGTTTGGTGGGCCAACAGCTTAATCACAACAACAGCCCCAAAGTTAGAAAACAAACGCTGAAATTTAGTCAAACAATTATCATCGACCTACAAGCAAGTCCGATTCAGCCCATTCTACAGGTATTCCAGCAACTATAATTTCCCAGCCAATAATATTCTCATTGGTAACTTCCGCAGGCATAGAATCAGGAATATAGGTCCCATTGGAAATTGTTTGAAGGCGATGCCCTACGAGATTAAATGCAACTGAAAGGTTACCTGGAGTGAATCGCCGACCACCAGAACTGGCGTATGCTACACGCAATCGCTTTTGCTCAGTTTCGTAACCGTGATATGTCTGTATGGCCAAGGATGCATGTTGAGGGTTCACGAAGTCCACAAAGCCATAACACAAGCTAGCACCCGTGTTCTAGAGAATGAATAAGATACCGGCAGTATTACCTTGTCTCTGATGAGTTTGCATTGCCTAATAGGTCCAACTCGTTCGAAGAGACGCTGCAGATCATTCTGGTCATAACTTTGAGGTAGGTAGTTGATAATTAAATTTGTACGTGATCGGTCCTCGTTGAAAAGCATACCTGCATTACCACCGGATCCGTTTTGCACCAGATTGAGGCCAAGAAATTTAAGTTGAGAAATGGCATCTAAGTTGGTGGGGTTCTGTCGATTGACATTCAAAACTGGACTAGTCACTGAGTTACTGGTCGAATCTTGAAAAGGAAGAGAGGGGAAAACGTCCGAGATATTGCTGCTCATACACCCATTGACGTGCATACTTATAATATCTTATATCCCTGAACGGAACAGCACGCAAACCTGCACGCAGCTCTAGGTCAAATTCAAAATGTCGTCTGGACGATGAAACCGATTTACTAAAAGAAGGGTGGTTTCTATGCAGTAAAACAAACTCTTTGTGTGGTCTTCGTGCTAGTTTTGCACTCATAGTGGAATTTGATATAAAATAAAACTACCATTTTCCCTCTCATGCATTAACTTAGAATGGAGACGACACTGATTGTTATGCAACATTATATTCTTGACCCCTGCAACTTTTACTGTAAATGCGATTGAATTCTAGGTCAGGTGAAGGTTATACATGACCGTTAAGAGCGCCAATGAACATGGAACAGTCTGCTATCGGAAGTTTTTTCAAAGTTAGTTCTATGCTTTAGAAAGTAATGGACAACTATCGAAGAACAACCGATGAGTTAGCATTACAAGGATTGTTGTTTCAGTAATGTGAGGAATATTGTGGTGGGGTTCATTCGAGAAAAAGGAGGCACGTGATCTATTTACTGCATTAAAACATATCTCCCAAGCTGAACACCTAGGTTTGACAAACCTACTCCTAGAGAAAGAGGGCTATATGAATGGGCGGGAAACAATAATATCAGCGTGAATGTTACTTTTTGATCTTACCGAAGCTTTTGAGAAAGTGTCACATGTGGGACTGATGAAAAATGCAACCGGGCAAGTGTAGATGACAGGAATCTGATGTGGATTGGTAGGAACTTATGCGACACAAGGTAAGGAGTAGCAGTGACCTGGATACTATCAGCACTGCGGCAGAACTGGTTCCAAAGCACTCTGCATGCTTTGTTCGCTTCGCGAAACATCGAAGTATTTTGAAGAAGTTATATCCAAAATGCTGAAGCCCACAGATGCAAATCTTCGCTTTGTTCCGAGAATCAATTCTGCCAGCATATGCCTGGTGAACTAAGTGAATATGCTAGAACATATTCAGAGTGTGAGCAAAAAGACACTGTCGGAAGTTGCTCACTTCGTCTACAGAGGGCGACTAGAATGGCCTTCTCATTATCTTATAATGATAAGACAAGCTAAATTATGGTAGTATTTCGTTTCTTGAGTGGTTGTGCAGACATCTAATCGTCTTACTCAGTAATCAACATTCGTCCAGCTGGAAGCCACGGGCGAATAGTTGTCGAGTAAAGTACGTATTTACTGGCATAACGGCGAGGAATAAAACCTACTAACGATGTAAGTGAAAGCAGCTGGCTCCGTGGGTAAATTCAAGGACAAGCTAGGTCTTCACAGAAAAGATGCTGTGAGTAGTAACTCGGGTTTTTGAACCAATATACTTCTCCATGAATACTGACTGTATTGAGACTTTATGGGTAGGCAAAGTGGGCTACCTGGGTGTAGCCTCGCTCATTATGGTTTGATATCATGTCAAAGGCTAACTGCACAAGTGCATTTGCGATCATCGGAAAGCTGAAATTAACCAGTAACATCGGTGAGCTCGTCACTTGAGTTACTTTGCACGTGATCTTTGTCATTTACTCTGAACAGGCTTGGCCGTGTTTTGTGATATCTGTTATCATTTGACAAGTAGTAATATTCATAACTGCAATACTGGGTTAGCAAAGTTATTTGGCTGCCCGAGGGAAATGACCTTTTTTACAGACAAATAAGCGAAATCCATACTTTGGTGATGGGAAGAAGCGAAGCCAGATGTGAGGAAACAGATAGTCCCAGTGAAGATTCGTAGGATCCGTCTTCAAAAGCGATGAGATGGGTGTTGAGACTACTCTCCACGAGCCTATCACAAGAGTCTCGGTCATTGTCACCGAAACGGATGTAGGGTAAGGGAAAGTTAGAGTGGTATCATTAATTTGAGGCCAATTTAGCTGATAATCGAAAGACGCCTGGGAATTTCTCTCTATTAGCCCATTTATTTGCTGAGCCGATCACTGAAACAAGCAACCGCTAGCAAAGAGGTGAGGAATTAGTGAGTCTTCTAGCAACTGAGGCAATGAAACTATTGGTATCGTTTCAGCAAGCCCACACCTTGCATTCGAAAGCTGTTAAAAGTAGGATTCTACGAGACGGTGGCGTAACAAATGTACCCCGTGCCTCTTAACACTTGGCTTTTACAATGCCGTTTCTCAAAATTCTTTAAATTCTTGACACTGTTTGGCGCTGGGGATTTAGTTAAAACGCGGAATAGCAACTAAGCTAGTTGAAATTTTCAATGAATTATCTTTGCGTAACGCGGGACACCCTGTAAACGTACAAAGGGCATTGAAAGATTTCACCTTTCTATCTGTAGTTTCAGGGGCATCTGGATACCCGGAAGGATAACCCGATGACAAAGAGCCGAATGGTATTCCACTGGCATCACCTTAGAAAAAGCCCGAAGCTGACCTTGATGCAGGCCCTCCGATTGGCTCTGCAGAACTAGGGTATCCCACTTCCAGGGCAAGCCACTGTCTTCAAAACACAGTTGACAACCTGTCTGGGGATAAGCACGACGTCAGGAAATTCCCAAGCACGGTTCAAGCACCTGAACTTAAAAAGGATCATGAACACATGAAGTTTAGGTGCATTTTTTCAAATAGTGATGAAATGTACTTCACTGTCAGGAAGCCTCTAAGACACCTAGACCTTTGTCTTGGAATGAAAAGGTGATAATTCATGTCTGCTTACGTCCCATCTGTTAGGAGCAGTGATCATGCTACTGTTTGCCGCCTTCGTGAATATGTGAGTCACAACTCGCCATCATTCGGCCCTTAGGGCATAGATAGTGTAGATAGTATATTGGAGTTCCTACTCTTCATAACCATAACGCAGCGCTGAGCTCAAACTTAGCTGGTCGCTAGCCCAGGATTAGACACATTACTTCCCCTGTTGAGTACATGAACGCGCCCGGGGCTCCAAGATTTTTTGGGGTTACCACATGTAATGTACAACCCATGATACACAGGGCCAGCTCATATGGAGCCAATACAAAGCTGAAGCCGCCCAAACTGGTACCCACGGACCACAAACTACGATGTGTGACATTACCGACCGCCCACTGACTACTATATCCAGACTGTCAGTGGAGGCATACTCCCCTACGACTGGGAGAATGCCATAGCAACACCTATCCACAAGCCAGGTTCTAGTCAGCTCCCATCGAATCACAGGCCGACAAGTTTGACTAGTACTGTAGTGAAAACCCTGGAAAGAGTAATCAAGGAAGCCATCGTAGTCCGTCTACAGAGCAACACTCTATTGTCTCGTTCACAGCACGGTTTTCGCAGAAATTTCTCTTGCTTGACGAACCTTCTTACAGCCAGAGAAAGTTGGATTAAGTCTAAAGATGATAGGATACCAGTAGATGTCATTTTCACTGGCTTCAGTAAGGTGTTCGACAAAGTCTCTCATTCCAGGTTGCTCAGAAAACTGAGTAGTTTTGGAATCACTGGTAGTCTGTTCACATGGATAAGAGACTTTCTCGTTGGTAGGAGACAGAGTAAGTATCAATTCTCAACTCTCCACTTGGAAGTCGGTAGAGAGTGGAGTGCCACAAGGCACAGTCCTGGGCCCTCTACTGCTTCTCCCACACGTAAATGAGCTGTCAAATATCATGAAACCCCCTGTGGTTCCCCACGCTGACGCAAAAATCTGGCGGGAAACTAGGAACGATGAAGATATACGTGTGCTCCAGGCAGACTTGAGCAGCTTGTTTACCTGATCAGAGAAGTGGCTGATGCCCATCTACGCAGGTAAATGTGCGAGGATGCACTTGGGGCACACAAACAGCAATACCTACGATATTGATAGGACTCCTCCACCGTCAGTACCTAACCATAACGACCCGGGAGTCATGGTTGGTTATGACTTGAAAACCATGGCTCACTGTTCGCTGGTAGCAGCTCGGAGTTTAAGGACTGTCTGGGCATTACGTAGAACATTTACGAAATAAGTGGCGACATGTTCACCATCTTATACATGTCCTTAGTTAGGTCTAAACCAGAAAACCTCACCCAGGCGGCTAATCCTTGTCTGAAAGGTGACCTTCTAGAAAGAGTTCAGAGGGCGGCCACCCATATGCTCCCTGCTACGGCCGGCCTCACCTATGGAGACCGACTTAAGGAGCTGAACCTCTTCACTTTGTTCTACAGCAGACAAAGGAGAGACCTAATCATGCTATACAGGATTCTAGGAAATGATTTTGAACCTGATCTGTCTTCTTTTTACCTTCGCACCAGGTCGGAATACCTCAGAGGGTATAGTAAAAGACTACAAAAGCAAAAAACGAACATAGTCTCCGCACAGTACTGGTTCTCGCGTCGAGTAATCAACGCATGGAACCGACTCCCGGGAGTGGTGGTGTCCGCATCACCAATTGAGTCGTTCAAAAGGGGGTTGGACAAGCGTAGAAATCTACTGGAAAAGGATTAATATAGGCTCCCAGCCTCCTATCCTCAAACAACAAATCTGAATCTGAAACAAATCCGAATTGGGGACTGGAGATTTGTCAATAAAAGAACTGTTCTATCTAACAGGCCTAGATGCCGCAAATTCATCCCTTCTCATGTCACTACGAGCTTCTAGAGAATCTCAGCTCTTTTTGACATAAAATACGCATTATTCATGAACATACTATGCAGCAACGGACTTAACGAGCTATGTATGATCGGCATTACGAGCGGGCTCACCGGTTGCAGAAACCCATTTACGTTATGGCTAATCGACTCACTTTCCCTATCCAGGAGAATACCTGCCCTTGAAACGATGGCGTTAATCGCCAAACCCGCGTATTACCGATAACATAATCACGATGCCAATCCATCCTGGAAGCAGACGTTTTCACAAGTGGGCACACTCACTATAGCACTACTCGAGACCGTAAGCGTGGTGGTCGCCGTCTCATTTACGCATGTAATCACTTTGTGGCAGATAAAATTCGAGAAAACATATTGCATGCGGTGCTTAATCACCGTGAGTCAACCTACTCGTTGACAAGTACGAAGTGCTCTTAGGTC